AAAGAGCATGTCATTCTATTGGTTTCTTTTCTTCAACATGAACTACTTTTAATTAAAGAAGGATCAATTTACACAACTGACAGTGACAGAAGTACAGCTGTACTGACTTTAGGTACACTACTGGATTGGTTAACATGGGAAAGGAAGGTTGTACTGTAGTCAAATGCACAAGTAAGCTCACCTATTTTGTCTGCACCAAATTCTGAACATTAACAGAGAATAAGATGTTGTAGTTTAGAGATCTTGATGGATAAAGCTCGCATTGCCTATTGATAATGGATATATTTTTTGCCGACACTACTGGTGCTAATAAAAAGGAAGCTGAGATTCTCCAAGAAACAAATAGTTCTTGCACAGTAACTCCGAACTAGTGTTTCCTCAAAAACACCACAAGCTTTGAGTTAGGTACCCAGTTCCCAAACTCCACACGTTTAACAGGTACTTCTCTTGTCCTGCTCAGCTACTTACAAGAACTGCTCAGCTGAAGGCTAAGTGAATCTAAGCACATGCTTCCAAGCATTCATGCAGTCAAAGAGGGAAAAGCTGAATATGCTTTCGTATATTCTGGACTAAAACTACTGCAGAAGACTATTAGACTAATTATCAGTTGTATACCAAAATTAACGAGAATTAACTCAGCCCTTTAAACAGCCATGGAAAAAAAAAAAAAGAGAACTCACAACGATGTATCCTAACACAACAGTTGAGAAATAAACTTGTACCTGCCAATGCTACGCTTGGATGCCCTTATCCTGATTTCTTCATTGGTAAAACACTTTTCTCACACCCTGTAACTCCAGTCACTATGGAAAAGCTCAGCCCAAATGCTACAGAGGCTCAAAACTATGCCATCAAAACAGACAGCAAGCAGATATGCTCATACTCCATCAAGGAACAAATATTCACCACCACATATTTTTGAACGCACAACATGGGTAGGATATATGCAGACAACTGAAGCAGCGGAACCATACAATATCCATACAATAGAATTTAGACGGCATTTGCAAAAATAAGAAATTCCATAACCTGATTTACACACATAGTCACACCTAGACAGATCCTGGTACATTCTGGATCAAGGCCACCAAAACATAAAAACAAGTGTTAAATTCTCCTTTTTCACTGGAAAAATCTGCATCCTCATATACCGCAGTCCCCAAAGATGTGAAAAAAATCTCACACACTGACGCTAGAAGTTAGCAGAACCTCCTCACCTACTTTCATCTAAGTAGTATGGTATGAGAAAGAGAAATGGAGTCCTGAAACATCCAAGTCTTGTCAGACACTAGTAACGACAACACAGTAAATACTCGCTAGGACCAGACAGCGTGCTTTTTAAAATCCCAACTCTAAGAACTTACCAGCTGAACGGAAGTTGCAGTTACTCCAGTTCCACTGGAAACATCATCTCACTTGAAATACCAGATTCAGCACCCAGAGCCTGTAGCAACCTAAATTTTTTTGGCGTCAAGTGCCTAAACTGTACTGTCAAAATAAACACCACATGTTGCTGCTCCCATTAAACAGAAAAATTCAGCCTCCAACACATCCTGGTGCAAAGCAACGCAAGAACAAAAATCTGGGAGCGAGACCCTGCCAAATCCATCAGATCCTTGTTCACAAACATCTACATCCGACTGCACACAAGAAAGTACTGTGTGACACTTAGATGACATGGGAAAGCTGCACCTTCTCAAATCCTGGCCCTAGAGACCTTGGAAAGGTTAAGCTTCATTCTTACTTAGATTTTCAAAGCTTTTTTTTTTTTTTTTTAAATTATTTTCTTCAGTGATCACAAGAATGGCCCAACTGTCCACTTCAATATTTTAAAT